TTTTAGTTAAAGGACTAGCGCCAATAGTAACGCTATAGTAAACGATCAGGGAAAGAACGCGAAAAGAAAACGCGTAAAATAAAAACGTAGATTTACAAGTGCAATGTAAGAGAGCAATGTAACACTTAGCACGTGCAAACCATATACCGGGTGTCCGAATGGGACAGTTAGCGGCATGGCGATAGAGATAAAAATAAACCGCAATGATAGGATGATCTACGGGAAACAAGGCGGAAATCAAAAACATTACGGAAAATTAGAGTCATATACCGGGTGGTCGCGAAAACCGAATACCTAAAAATTGAACCACGAAATGGCAGAAATAGACAACGTCAGATCTATTAATATTAAGAACAAGAAACGATAGCGTTTAGAATAAATTTATATTATACCGGGTGTCCGGGAAACACAGTTGTTAGGAACAAAATAAGTAATCCGAAAATTTTGAGAACGTCAAGTTCCAAGGGACCAAAAATAAAAAAGAATCACGCTTGAATCAAAATCGTAGTATACCGGGTGTCCTAGTAAACCAATTATTAGCAGCGAAACATAAGATACTTAGAAAATCAAAACGCCAAGTATTTCAGGGCCAAAACCGAAAGCAATCAACGTTCGAAAGAATTTTGTGATATACCGGGTGTTTATAAAACACAGGTGCCGGGATGAAAAAATTGCGAAATCGGATAACGCGAAACGACAACGTAGGCGGGACCAAGTACCGAGAACAATACCAAAATTAGAAAATCATTACATACCGGGTGTCAAAGAAAGACACGATGCGCTAGACAATTTAAGTAAAGAAATAAGTTTATACAATGCGTGCGGTAGAATAAGTCTAAGCTAAGCAATTCGTACTAACCAATACTTACCTCAAAGCCGGGGGACTGAAAGAACTTATCCGGGATAAAATGCACCTGAAAGAAAAACAACGCTATTAGTTTAAATTTATATATACTTACCTACTGGACAGGAAACCAAAGGAACTCTATCGTTAATGACTGACATGTACGCGGGATGCCTGAAATAAGGAAAATTCTATGTAATAAAATTTGATATAGATATATATATATACATATATACACATGTATGCGATAGCGAGCAAAGCGAACGCGGAAGCGCAGCATACGAGCGGAGCACCATGATCGAGGACCAGAGAGGGGAGAACGCGGTCTATATAGGCGCGGGCGCAGCGAGAAGCAGCGAGATAGTCTACCTGAATTCGCGAGAGTAGGTTAAAACCTCGAAGCGTTCTGAACCACCCACTCGCGTGGAGCGATGCTCACGCCGAGCACATAGTATTATACTCAGTGGCTTGTTGAAGTGGGAGACTTACTCCAATGTGTTCATTTTACACCATGTATTTGAAAGAGTAAATATATGTTTATACTGTGAAATTTGAAACACACGTATTATCACTGCCGAGTACTCATCCTTGTATGATAGGCTATACATAAGTGATGGCGGAATAACCTTCTCCTTGGGAGGTGAAAAGGAGTAGCGACCGTATAGAGGACAACGATTATGGACGGAATTGCATGCAGAATACTGTGATTCGGCTACACCGTATCTATCCAAACATCTTAAAAAGTATCACCCGGGAGACACAATAAGCTATAGATGTTCTCTAAATGTAATTATAAACCTAAAGGAAAATAATCCGTATAAAGATGTTAAGACCCATTTCACCAAGTGTCATGTGTCTCTCGTGGTGGATGCGGTGTAGCCGAACGACAGTCTCCTGCATGTAATTCGGTCCAGTTTTTCGTCCTCTATCCGGTCGCCACTCCTTTTGACCTCCAAAGGAGAAGATTAATCCTCTGTCGCATATGGCTTGGATCGCACAAAGATGGGTTATCGCAATTGATAATTCTCAGTTTACAAGTATCACAATATATATATATATATTTGGTCACTTTGGTACATTGTGTAAATTTGAACACATTGGAGTGAGTCTCCCACTTTGTTAAGCAACTGACAAGTAAACCTACCTTTGTGTGACTCGCCGATTTCATTGAAACTTTGTACACTTGTAGAGTAGGCAAAAATAATAGGTACGTATTTTTTTTTATCGGCAATGGTCAACATTAAAGGGGTGAAATTTTTTTATGTTAGATAGTAAAGTTTACATGTCCGACTTTCCATGCATGGGTGGTTTATCTCCCGCAACAAGGGTGCATGGAAAGTCGGACATGTAAACTTTACTATCTAACATAAAAAACATTTTGTAATAGTTTCGTGTTGATCGGTACATTATTTTTATGTGAAGCATCATGACGATGCCCTAATACCCTCAACTTTGGGGATCAATTTCAACCTTTTAATGTTGACCATTGCCGATAAAAAAAAATACGTACCTATTATTTTTGCCTACTCTACAAGTGTGCAAAGTTTCAATGAAATCGGCGAGTCACACAAAGGTAGGTTTACTTGTAAGTGTTACACTATGTGCTCCGCGCGAGCGAGTATTCTATCGCACTGCTCCACGCGAGTAGGTGGTTAAGGTACTACTCTCCTCGCTTCTGGCTTCGCACGCGCCTATATACTCCGCGCTATCCCTTCTACGATCTTCGATCTTAGCGCCTCCCTCGCTCTCGCTACTCTTATAGCATTTTCGATTGGGCAAAAGTTAGTGCGCACCAGTGCGCACTCAGTTCATACCAACACTGGACGAGTTCCATGGGTTGCACTGAATAGTGCAAGTTCAAAAGAATACGCCAAGATTTTCAGCGCTGAAGCTGAAACTCATTTTTGTTCACTTTGAAGCAATGTTCAACAAAATGTTACAAAACCACAGTAAAAGATATTAAGAGTAGAGACAAGACCCCGTTTTCAATTCAACTGCGCAGATTTGCTTGTCCCTATGTATATCCTTAACTGTGATAAAACGTGCACTGAACTGGCACCGTCAAAATATCTCGTGCCACTTAGTGCGCACTGAGTGCGCACTACGCGAGTGTCATGCGATCAAATGAACACGTGACACTAGCCAAGTGCGCATTGGCACTGCCAATCGAACACGCTCTTGACTTTGAGTGCAGCCAGTGCACCCCAATCGAAAACGCTATTAGTCTCCACTTACACTATTCCGCATACATGATAAATCGGATTCCATTACATGAATTTTCTTTTATTTTAGGTACCTCGCGTGAACAGCGGTCGTCAACGATAGGATCTCTTTGGCCTCCCGGCTTACAGGTAAGTATATAAACTTAAACTAATTACATTGTTTTTCTTTTCGTTTCAGGTACATTACAACATGGATAAAGTCCCTTCGGTTCTCCGGCCTTCAGATAAGTATTGCTCACAATGAGATCAATCTAGTTTATAATTATTCTATCGCACTGTTTCACGCGAGTTCTGACGTTTCCTTTTATTCGCTATCTCTATTTTCTCTTATCGACAACTGTGTTTCTCGGACACCCGTTGCATTATGAATTTATTGCAAACGCTATTTTTCCTTATTTTTAGTCCTGAAACGCTTGACGTTCTCGGATTTTACGAATTACAAATTCCGCTCGTGGCAACTGGGTTTCTCGGACACCCGTTATATTACGCGGTTACGCGAAACGTCACGTTTTATGGCTCTCCGCGTTGCTTTACTTGACGTTTGCTGTTTCCCCTATTTCAGGCTTTGAATGCAAGAAATCCGGTTTTCGCCGTCACACGGTATATAATTCATATTTATCGTTGTCGCGTCTTATTTGGTCTTGCTTTCTCTACATCATTGCGTCTTCGCTGTACCTTTTTCCTTTTTCCCGTGTTGATCACTGGGTTATTTGGACACCCGGTATAAGACTTAAGCTTGCGAAATGTTAACGTCCCCTGTTACGTTTAGTTAGCGATGCTATGTTTCCTGTTTCGCGATTTCTCTTCGCGGTCTTGGTAAACGCGATTTTCCAACAATTTTTTACCTTCAAGTTCCCCTAGACGTATCCGACGCTCCAATTTCTAGGGTTTTTCTCTGCGCTATTTCTCTATGAGGTTTTTTATAACGTTAATTGCGGCGCTAGCTCTTTAAACAAAAGAAACGTGATTCAATCCTTCATCCTAGCGCGCTATTAACTAAAATGAGCATTTTCGTCTCTGACTGTCGACACCACAAGATCTCGATGTTGGTTTTGAATATAAGACTTTATAATATTTGACATTTCGATGAGCAATGTGTTCTACCCTTTTGACATAATGTATTGGATTCCGTTCTCTTTTTATCTAATTTGGTAATTGGATAAAGAAGAATGAGCTGTCGCTTCTTGGAATTTGCGTATAGTATGTAAGCGGATTTAGGTTATATTATATTGATAAGGACCCAAAAATAGGGGTCGAAACATATATTTAATTAATTTTTGATATGACTTGTTTAATTACACGAAAATAAATTGTACATCCGATTAACTGATGTTTGGCTTTGAGGGCTTGCTTATTATTATTATTATTGATAGATTCCTTCAAGCCTTTTTTTTAGATATTTGTTAAAATGACCTCTTGTTCGGCTTTGCTAATAAACATAATAATTTTGCGAACTTATTACCTAAAATAAACTATTATTCGAATCTTGCTGATCAATAGCAAAATAATTTCACTTTGAGTTTCTGTTTGTCGCCAATCTATGAACTAATAATGCAATGATTGCGAAATTCGCCTGTACTTATGTGTACTTAACTCGATATATTTATTTGTGAGCCCGTATGTAACGGGAGGGCTCCGATTGCACACATCGCATATTGCACACATGTGTCGCTGATTCGCCAATTTAAAAATAAAATAATCTCATTGGCAAAACAGTAAAAAATTACTAGGCACCAGTTGATATGAGTGGTGTGTACAATCAGAACTGTAGGCAAACGGGATCCTCCCTATGTAACGTTCGCGTTAATGAATTTTTTTTGGACGTATCGTCCCGCTCGTAGCGATTTGTTTAACATTTAATAAGATCAACTTAACTTCGCAAAATAAACTTATAATTCCCGTATTGTTCTTCGCTTTAATTTTTAATAATTACAATGTCGGGCCATGAAGTCGGGACCTCGCTCCCGGCTTCAGCGGCAGGCCAAAGCACTCGCGGCAGCCTCGGTGAGTGCAATAGTGTGGGCAAATTAAGAACTAGTGGCGCGGCTAAAGCGACCTCACGATTGGCGGAGACGGTTGAAGGACCTGATAAGCGCCGGGCCGCGACATCGGGTTCGCGGCGACTCACGCTTCCATTCACAGCCGCCCCTTCGCCATCGCAAGCAGCCAATGAGGCAAGGGCCCAAGGAAGGACGTCAACAACACCGACTAGTAGATCCCCCTCATACGCGGCAGTCACTGCGGGCCCATCAACCAGGAGTACAACATTTTCCACCACAGCCCGCAGTAAGACTGTCGCGAAGACCGCTGCGCCTACCACAACAACCAGAGAGGCCAGGAGATCCGGCGAGGCCGCCGCAATGAGGAAGTCGCCGAGGACCGCCACGGTGAGTAAACCACGTGTGATGTCGGTAAAAATAATGAAGTTGCCTGTCAAATCCATTTCCAAGACAGGCGTGCAGAACGCTGCCAAATTGGCACGCGCTCCCTCTCAACCCCCGCAGAGGACATCACCGGTGGCGGGGGGTTCACGACCATCCGTGGAGAAAATAAAATGCGGAGAGGGAGCACTGAAGAAGTTGCCCGTCAATAAAGATCTTCCAGTTTCATCCAGGATTCGGCGGGCAACGAGCGTGCCGGTTGAGAAGTGCGACGACACTGCAAGACGGGAGCGCGTCTCCCCACACCCTTCTCGTAACATAAAGAACTATATATTATTGTCATCATCTGACGAGGAGGGTACGCCATTCCAGCCAGGCGGCGTGGGG